TTGTAATGCATCCTAACATATTAACATTGTCATGTAATGATGAATTGACATTTATTTTTTCTTATTACAGATATATGTAATGTGTAAAATTTTGTAGATAACGACGTTGCATCAAATAAGGAAAACATTGATCCTATTGAAACAAATGATTGGCTCCATAGGAATAATTCCTATCAGACCAACAATATTGTTGATGAGAACATATCCACACGATTATCATGTAATTGAAGATGCTGAAATATTTTAGGTCTTTCAAAATGATATTGCAATAATATGACCCAATAAAGCTAATGAATGTATTTGTATGATTCAATTGATAGATGAGCCAGAAAAGGAGACTATATAGAAGGAGAGCACTATTGGTTTTACCAGTACCCCTATTCCCGATGCTAATGAAACATGTGTGCAAAGTACATCAAAAGGTAACTACAAGAGTGAATGGTACAAAAACATGACACCTGAACAGAGGGAAGCAAGGCGTGAGTGCCAAAGGCTGCACAATAGGGAACCCAAGCGTAAAGAGGCATTAAAATTGTCTAAGAAAAAATTCAAAGAGGTACGGAAGCACACCCTGCACCTGGACTCTGTCACAATGGAGAACCTGTTATTTATTCCTAAGCTTGTGTGGCCCGTTGCGGGCCAATCTAGAGCTCATGGATCCATGGCAAAATCCAGTGATTGGGTTATCCCAAAGTCTAGTGCAACACCTATTTATATTCCTCCACCTCATGAGGAGGCCGATGATGAAGGATGCGATGAGTTACTGCCTGGCCATATGACACAGAGATCACATGTTCCATCAGGACAAAGACGTGTGTTGTTGACGCGTCGTAACATGATGTTTGAGCGTTGCATTGGTTCGAACACAAGGGCACCTAATAAACATGGTGGCTGTATGGCTAAAGACCGAGTGGATGCTAACACACCCCTGCCTCAATCAGCCGTGACCAACAACGGTAAATACTGGTGCCTCATTATCCCATTTAGGTGACCTATATACCATATTATATCTCACCGATCCATGGTCATTCTGTGATTAACAGAAAATGCAGCACCGTGCGTTCAGGCTACATCAGGCACACCGATGGCACCACTGTTTGATAATTATGAATGCATGGCTGAAGAACACCTAAATGATAACACACCCTTGCCTCGATCAGTACTGACCAACAACGGTAAATATTGATGCCTCGTGATCCCATTTAGGTGACCTATATTATATATCATATTATACCTAACTCGACAATGGTCATTACATGATTTCCAAAAAGGACAGGACCTAGCCTTCAGCCTACATCAACTGCACCGACAGCACCACTATTTTGATGACAGTGGTAATTTACATTATTTTCTAACATTCTATAAACTATTTGAACTCCTTTGTTTATATTTACCCATAGTTCTACTAACTCACGTATGTTTGACGGCCATAGATGATGATGAGGGAGATATATTTGAAGAGGATGAGAAAGAGGATGAGGGATACATGTTTGCTAGGCAAGGTATTTGTGCGAAAGACCGAAAAGAAATCAATCTTCAACTGCTTTATCTAAACTATTGTGGCTTAAATTTCATTTCAGATGATGACGATGTCCAAGACAATGACCTTGAGGAAGACACAACTTATATCCCTGAAGTACCTGACCAATACGAAAAGGTGTATAGTAACATGCCTACAGATACCCATATGCTAAAACATGTCGCAAATTGCGAGCACTGCGATGCGAAAAGGTTTGAACATGAACCACCTGGGTTCTGTTGTCACAACGAAAAGATCAAGCTCAATGAACCGAACGTACCTGATGAGCTTATGAGGCTTTGGTCAAGTAACGACGTAGATGCTAGGCACTTTTGTAACAACATTAGGTTTCTCAATGGCTATTTCTCTTTCACTTCTCTATATTGTCGCCTTGATAGCGCTACTGCAAGCATGAAAAACTATGGCATATACACCTTATGTGCACACGGCCAGATCTATCATAACATAAGGTCATTTGGCAAAGAAGATGGTAAGGAGCCAAGACATCTTGAGATTTACTTCTACGATGATGACCCAAGCCTTGAGCAGCGTGAAAGCATCTAGGCCCCTAGTTGGATTTCGGTGATTAATGACAATACATGATTACTATGACTAACGTGTGTTTTGCAGAGGCAATTAAGTTAGGTCATGGTAATGGAAATTGATTGGGCAATCAAGGTTGTCATGCCCCTACGATGGAAATCGTTTCGGTTCTCAAAGGATGGATGACAAGGTTAAGGATGGACTAGTTCTAAGTGTCGTTTGGTGTTGAAGAGACACTTAGAGTAGTTTAGGACTTTATTTTTCCTTTGGCCGTACTATTAATGGGGATATGGACTAGTAGCTTGACCTATGTGAGTCTAGTGGGTTAGGTGTGGTACATACTTGTTAAATCTAGCACTAGGTAGCTCCTAAGTAGCCCTAAGATCAATTGGAGAAAACTTCATTTACATATGATTTCGAGTTGGAAGTGAATGGAGGGTCAAATGTTGACCGGACGCTGGTTCCGGTGTGACCGGACGCTAGCAGTAGAGACCGGTCAGTTCATTTGATCAAGCAGAAGTCGTCTGGTTGCAACCGGACGCTGAGTGAATTGTGACCGAACACTGGGTGCTAGAGTCCGGTCAACTCCAGTAAGGTTCCAGAGAGGGAGAATCATAATCGGACGCATCCGGTCAGTGCTGACCGGACGCTGGCACTACAAGAAATCTGAAGATCTATGACAATTTTTTTGTGACGATGAGTCAATTCGTCAATAAGTCATTCTGTTTTATGACGACTTTTGGGTGGAGAATGACTTTCTGACGAAAATTATGTGTTCGTCATTAAGACGCAATAAAAATCGTCATAACCTAGAGAGGTAGTTTGTCTTTGATGATCTATGTTCCGTCATAACATGCTACCTTGCGGTTGTCGTAAATTATTGGCAATATTAGTTTGTCATAACTTTTAGTTAAATTTTAAAAGAAATTAGATAGCTAGTCCCACAGTCATTTGTATATATCAGCATGTAATTGATAATTTATCAAATTATTATATATACAGCCCATCAGGCTTGCGCCGTTTGCTCCACGCGGGGGCAGCCTAGCAGGCCTGCGTACACCACATGTACAGTATGTTTATATTTTCAATATCCGTCCTGTGCTTGCTTTTTTTTTTTAGATCTCCACCCCGTGCATGCTAATCAAATCTCCTTGGCCTCTAAATCACGTGTCTTGCACCTGCTTGCGCACGCAAGGACCCCATGGCCCATGGGGAAACCGGAAACCTGCCTGGACTTCTTTTCCCCACATGCGCCAGCACACCAGCGGACCAGCCCAAAGCCTAGGACGTGGCCCAGCACGAGGAACGCAGCGCTCACTTAAAAAAAACTACTGCTCCGTTCCGTCGCCTCTTTCTCCTCCTTTGCAGCCACCGTCCTGTTCCATGGAGTTTCGCGGAGGCTACCGCCGGCGTCTTTTCCAAAGCTCCAGCCGGCCTCTCTCTTCTCTACTCTCTCTCACCCAACGACGACAGGGCCCCGCGGTGCCGCGTGGTGCAAGCCTATTGGCCGAACCACGTCACGCGCACTCACTCGGTGTCTGATCCCGCTTCCCACTCGAACACACGCGCTCCCACGTCCGCAAATCTGGAAAGCCGCGGCGCTCTCTCTCTTTTTCTGGGCCGCTGCCAGGCGGGTTCGACAAGCACGTACTCGTGGACATCCAGAACATTTTTTAGGTGTAGATAGATTAGTAGCTTTGCGAAATCACAGTAGTAATTACTAATTTCTTGTTATGATGAAAAAATAGTATCTGATTGACGTTGTTATATAGTAAAGTGATGTTGTACGAGTAGTTATTAATTTCTTTAAAAACTGACATTACAAACTAATTATTGTTTTTTTATAGAGCCACTAAAATACAAGTTCGATTAATACCTACGAAATCACTTCATTTTTCCTTGATTTTTAGGAAGTGAGCTCAATTGTAACATTTATTCTTATATATATTTTTGTATCATCTGTTGACTTTGTTTGACATCAGACGTAGTTCAACTAATAATATGTTGGAGGAGAGGGGGAAACCTAGATAGAAAACTAATAATAGGAGATCCTTCATATATGCTTTTAGGGGAGAGAGAGGATAAGTAATATGTTAGAGGTGATCCACAATTCAAAATCTAACAATGGAAACTTAGATCGAGTAAATTATTGAGCTATCTACAGATATAAGGAACCTAGATCACCAACTAGAAGAAGTAGCACCACCACCAATTTGTAGATCGGAATCAAACCCTAGAAACACCTCAAGAACAAATATCGCAAGTAATGAAGCAATCTAGTTTCACTTTGTTAAAATAACTTAAAATTTTTATGGCAATCTAGTTATATAAATATTGACCGCTTAGGTAGTCTAGTTCATGTAAAATTATGTTGGGGGTATATAAATTCAGTAGACAATAGTTCTTATGATTTGCAATCTAGTAACATAAAATTCGTTGCAAATAAATAAAAGGAAAAAAATTAAACAGAGGCTCGCAGAAATAAAGCCCATCTCGTGGATCTGGCCCATCTCAGCCCGCAAGCCACGCCTCATTCAGGCCATTAGATCAAAATGAACGACCAAGATGCAGCAAACCTTACATAAAAGCACCTCCAAAACCCTAGACAGCTCCTAGATCCACACCCTCTCCGCTTCCTCCCCTCCCGTGCGCCTCCACACCACTGCCCGCCACCTGCTGCTACCACTCCCCTCCCTCTAGATGCCGACCGCGACGCCACCCCTCCATATCCAATCCAAGGCGTCGGAGGCAATGGATCCAACGCTAGCAGCAGAGGATCAGGTCCTAGCGGCCGCAGATTTTAATGGAGTCATCGACGAGGAAGAACCGAGGAGGAGGCAACGGATCTAGGCAGCGTGCACGGAGGAGCTCAAGATTCCCAGGTCTCATCCGGAGTCGTCGCCCCCACTCGCTCGCGAAGAACCACAGCCACCCTGCGATGACGCAGATCATCGACGGCAAGGCCATCGCTGCCGGCGTCCGCCGCGACGTCGCCGCCGATGTGGCCGCGCTCTCCTCGGCCCAGACTCGTAAGCACTCCGCTTCCCTCTATCCGCTGCCTGTGAGTTCTTGGATCGAGGCGCGTAGGCCTCGGATTGTGTGCTGACGCTGTGCTGTCTCGCTCGCTGGCTCGTAGGTTCCGAGGCTGGCCGTGGCCATCGTGGGGAGCCGGAAAGACTCGCAGACGTCCGTGAACACGAAGCGCAAGGCGTCTGCCGAGGTCGGCATCTGCTCATCGACGGCGACCTCCATGAGGACATCTCCAAGCCCGCGCTCGTCGCCGAGGTTCATCGCCTCAATGCTGACCCCGTCGTGCACGGTACCGCCTCCATTTTTTCCATTCTCCTTCGTTGCTCGTGGTCTCTGGTTGTCAGGCTGCCAACATGCTACTCTGATTGTGTTGCGAATGTAGTAATCTCCCTGCTTGCCTGGTAACTCTGGACTCTAGAGATGGTTAGATTTCCGTTATTATGGAAATAAGGTGAATGGTATGACTCTGATTGTTTTGTCCAGTAATTGAATCTTGCACTGTATTACTCTGGATTGGTTGGCTGATTATTACTTGATGGCTTATTCCCAGGACGTCGACGTCATCGGCTGCATCAGCTCCTTCCACTTCTACCTTACGCAAACTTGCATATTCGCAGGAAGTCAATTTCATCTGCGGCATCAGCTCCTTCCATTTGTTCCTTACAAAAATCCATGGACATTCATGTACGAGTCCAGATTGGGTTCTTTCCAAATTCAAAATTCTCCCCTGTAGATGTATGACCATTTAACCTATTGATTTGTTTATGAATGGAATGTGTTTGAGCTGTGATTTTAATAATTTGGACTATTTGTGTTTTGTCTGGTTCAGATTTTTTTATTATGGGCCGTCCTAAAAAAATGTGGCATGGGCTGGACCTAAAAATATTGGCTATAAAATGGGCCTCTGAAAATGCAAACAGGAATGCGAAAATAAAAAAACAGGCTGAATGTGAAAATAAAAATCGCACTAAAAATATGTTCTGTTATGCTGCTGGACTGTAAGCTAAATGGGCCCAAACAAAAAATTGTGTGGGCTAATTATAATAAAACAAAATGGGCTGAAAAAATATTAGAAAGCTAAATGGGCCGCTTAAAAGTCCGCTTAGTATATGGGCTTAGCCAGGCCTTAAGATATTTAGTGACAACTCTCTAATCTGGTCGTCATTAAAAATTATGATGAAAAAATATGCCATCGTCATTGAACAAGATTTACTACGCATGATCTTTGACGATTGGTTTTTCGTCATGCAGTCGTCACAAATACAACTACTATGACAAATATATCAGAATTCATGATGACAATAGGTCGTCATAGATCCTAAGATTTCTTGTAGTGTGGTCAGGTTCCGGTTACTGACCGGACGCTGAGCAGCGAAGTGACCGAACTCTGGGTTTCAGCGTCCGGTCAACATTAGTAAGGTTCTAGAGAGCAGTGTTGACCAGACGCTGGTCAGAGTCCGGTCACAACTTAATAGCTCAGTGGCGGGGAGAACTGACCGGAGCATCCAGTCACCCCGCAGTGTGGTGTTTCCACCTCCTAATGGTTCGTTTTGAATAATGAGGTATAAATACTTCCTCTATTCATCCAAGGGAGGTCTCTTGCCCATTTCAACAGCTGAGAAACACCCTTGAGAGTGCTTAGGAGACCAAGAGCCTAGTGAGGTGATTGAGATTTGAGAATCCAAGATTAAGGCCTCATTAGTGCAAGGAGAGTAGCAAGTGTGCATCCACCATTCTCATTAGGCCTGTTGTGGTCAAGTGAGAGTTCTTGCTTGTTACTCTTGGTGATCGCCATCACCTAGACGGCTTGGTGGTGATTGGGAGTTTGGTGATCATCCAGCGGAGCTTGTGGATGACCCAACTCAAGTTGTGAGCGGTTGTGGGTGATTCACCGTGATGGAGTGTTGAAGAATCAACTCGTAGAGAGACCTTGATCCTTGCGTGGATCAAGGGGGAGCTACACCCTTGCGCGGGTGCTCCAACGAGGACTAGTGGGGAGTGGTGACTCTCCGATACCTCGGCAAAACATCGTTGTGTTCCTTCTCCTCTCTTTACTTTGAGCATTTACTTTTGAGCAATTCAATTCTTGTCTTTACATTCTTAGAATTGTCATGCTAGAGTAGGATTGGAATTTAGGGTGCTAAACTTTTGTGCGGTAGATCATTAGAATCACTTTCTAGGCACAAGGGGTGAAGTGGGCTAAGTGTAGGGTTTAATTATTGCAAAGAATTTTAGAATTAGCCCAATTCACCCCCCCTTTGGGCATCTTGATCCTTTCAATTGGTATCAGAGCCTCGTGCTCACGTATTTAGGCTTAACCGCCTAGAGAAAGATGTCCCATGGGGATGGACCTCCTCCTATCTTTGAGGGAGATGATTTTCCTTATTAGAAAATCCGCATGGAGGCGTATTTAGAAGCTCTAGATATTGGAATTCTTAAAGCTGCCTCTCAAGGTTTCCCAAAACCTAGGGATCCCACGTACCTTCAAGGTGATGAAGTGAATTACGAAAAATGAAATGCAAAGGCTAGAAACACCATATTTAGAGGCATATGCAAAGATGTGTTTAACCGGGTGAGGAACCACAAGGACGCCCATGCACTATAGTCAGATATTTGTGCGCTCCATGAGGGAACTAAGAGCGAGCGTGAGGAACGTTATCATCTTGTTATGAAAAAGCTTAATTCATTTGAGATGCTTCCGAAAGAAAGTGCTAATGAAATGTACTCATGCTTAAATGTTCTTATAGAGGAAGTCAATGGGCTTGGACTTACACAAATGCAACCATCCGATGTTGTAAGAAAAATCTTGAGTGTCCTCCCCATTGACAAATATGGGCATATTGTGACCATGCTTCATCAAGGTGATCTTTCCACCGCTACACCAACTCAAATCTTGGAAAAGATCAACGCTCATGAGATGTACATGCACATCACACCACAAGATAGCTCATCCTCTACCAAGAAGAAAGACAAGGACTTGGCATTCAAAGCTAGCCAAGAGAAGGGCAAAGCAAGAATTGAGTATGAGAGCTCAAGTGATGATAAAATTGATGACGCAAGTCTTGCTCTCATGGTGAGAAGAACAGCCAAGATGCTAAAGAAGCTCAAGAAGAATGGCGGATGGCAAGAAAAGGAAGTTCTTCACTAGCACTAGAAGGAAGCCAATCTCTGAGATGGATTGCTACAATTGTGGAGAACTTGGTCATCTAGCTCATCAATGCCCCAAGCCAAAGAAAGACAAGTACAAGAACAAGAACAAGGGCAAGAAATATGACTCAAGTAATGAAGATGAAGATGAGAAGAAGAAAAATAAGCCATACAAGAAGAAGGATGGCAAGAAGGACTTCCACAAGAAGAAGAAAAATGGCAAGGCATACATCATCGGTGATTGGCTCACGGATATTGATTCATCAAGTTGCTCATCCAATGATGATAGTGAGAATGAGAAGGTGGCCACCATTGTGATTGACTCTTCATCATCTTCACCAACATCACCACCATCATCCTCTACACACCTATGCCTTATGGCCAAGGGTGAACGAAAGGTATCAAATGATGATGATAGTAGTGGTGATGATCATGCTAGTAATGATGATAGTGATAGTGATAGTGATGATGAATTTGAATCACCTTCATATGATGATCTTGTCAAATTGCTAAATCAATACACTAAGATCATTAGAAAGACTAGAGTCAAGAATGAAAAGCTAGAACTTAAGAATGACTCTCTTTTAGCTAAATGTGACATAGTGAAAAAGGCTAGTGTTGAGCTTAGAGAAGCAAATGAAGCTATGTCATCCAAACTCAAGGAGCTCAAATCTTCTAAGAAAGGGCTTAAAGAAAAACATGATAAACTTGAGGGGATACATAATGAGCTCATCACTAGCTACAACATGCTAAAAGAAGAGTATACCAATCTCAAGGTAAATCATGATAACCTTGTTATCTCTCATGAGTTTTTATCCAATGAGCCACATGATGCTACTAACGATGTTGTTAAGATTGATATAGCTACATCATGTAATGATTTGATTATTGAGAGCATTGAGCAAGGTTCTAGTAGCAAAGGCAAGCAAGTGGTTGAGTCCGATAACAATGATAAATATGTCAAGATCAAGAATGAGAATGAGAAGCTTAAGAAAGATCTTGAAGAGCTAACAACCACCAACACTATAGTGATAGAGACTCTTGATCATGATGGTGATTTGATTCTTAAGAATGAGAAGCTCAAAGAAGAAAACAAGAGACTCAAGAAGGAGAAAAATCATGATGAGCTAAAAGAAGAGAACAAGAAGCTCAAGTCGGAGAAGGGACATCTCAAGATTGACTTGAGCAAGTTTACAAGAGGCAAATCTCTCCAAAGTGAGCTACTCATGAACACCGTCATGAAGATGGATAGAAGTGGAATTGGATACTTGGCACATCAAGAGAAGAAGGCGCAAGCTCAACAACAACAACACAAATCAAAGCCAAAGCCAAAAAGGTGTTTTGAGTGTGGACAAGAAGGTCACTTTGCCCATGAGTGTCAAACTCCACCACCACAACCCTTGCCCAAGCATGCTAGACCTTTTGCTTTCGATGCTCATTACATGCTTAGAAAGGATTCTAGTGGTAAAATGAAAGTTATGTTCTTAGGACCTCCCAACAAGAATAGGCCTAAGAAAATTTGGGTTGCAAAGTCACTTGTAGAGAAAGTCAAGGGCCCTCAACAAGTTTGGGTCCCTAAACAAGCTTGATCTCTTGTGTGTAGGTGAACTACAAGACCGGTGGAAGTCATTGGGTAATTGATAGTGGTTGCACACAACATATGACCGGTGATCCTCGTATGTTCACCTCACTAGATGAAGAAGTAGATGGACAAGAAAGAATTATATTTGGAGATAATTCAAAGGGCAAAGTGAAAGGATTGGGCAAAGTGGCAATATCAAATGATCACTCTATTTCAAATGTGCTATATGTTGCTTCTTTGAGTTTCAACTTGCTATCCGTTGGACAATTGTGTGATCTTGGCTTCCAATGCTTGTTTACCGAGAAGGAAGTAGTTGTATCTAACAAAGATGATGATCAAGTTATATTCAAGGGATTTAGATACAATAACCTATATCTAGTGGATTTTACCTCCGAAGATGCTAACTTGAAGACATGCCTATTCACCAAAACATCACTTGGGTGGCTATGACATAGAAAACTTGCTCATGTTGGGATGAGCTCACTCAAGAAGCTTATGAAGAATGAATTGGTGAGAGGGTTGAAGGATATGAAATTTGAGAAGGACAAGCTTTGTAGTGCATGTCAAGCCAGCAAGCAAGTTGCAAACACTCATTCTACAAAAGCTTTCATGTCAACAATAAGAGTGCTAGAGCTCCTTCACATGGACTTATTTGGACCAACAACTTACAAGAGTT